CAGCAGCCTGTCTATCATCCGCCTGTCGGCAGCTGACAGATCCTAACCAGTCTATCAGTCCGCATTCTCTCGGTGGTATCGGCCCCGCAAGACATCCTCAGCGTCAAGTGCCTCTTCAGCAGCAGCCAGTGACGATCCTGACCGGTCGACCTGAGCAGCAAGAAGAGCAGCAGCAATGGCGCAGCCCATCTTTGCATTCGACCCCAAGACCGTCATCCGTACCTTCAATGGAGACAAGGACGACTGGCGTGAGTGGGAGTTTACCCTCAGAGCCTTCCTCCTGGCCAAGGAGATGCCCACAGAGCGTCTGATGCCTGAGAAGGAAGAAGACATTCCTAGGTTACCTGTACCGAATGCCGATGAACACCCCACACGCCCCGACCCCTCCACCAATGCACACCACGCGGCCACCAACAGGCAGAACGGAGCAGAAGACGGCAAGGCGCTGCGCATTGCGGCCGACAGGAAGCACAGCAAATGCGGCACAGAGGCGAGGGCAAACAACTTCACCGTCATCCCCTGTCGGCGGAGAGCTATGGGGGGTGGGGGGACGAGGCGGCGGCCGTTCTCAATCGTATGGCCCGATACATCCGGCCGCCTGTCTATATAGAGGAGGGCGACGTGGAGTTTTTCCGTGAGACAGCATTGGACAGATGGTGGGCTCTACTTAGTGTGCTGCTGCAGAAGGGCAACGCACACATGTTGCGGAGCGGGGCGTGGCGGGCAAGCAGGTGGAATGGGCAGGAGAGGGCGGGTTTTGCTGAGGGGCTGCTGCTAGAGTGGGGGCCTTTCCACCCTCGTTGATTGCAGGGTGGGTGGGTGTACGAAGCGAATGCTTTGATAGTTCCTGTCAATATTCTAGATGTGGGTATGTAATCGACTCTGTCCCAGCGCATGGACACACAACCACCACCACCTTTTTCTATGTGGGGTTCCTTTTTTTGTTTTCTCCTGCTAACCCCGCGTAGAGACTACCCCGAGATGTACTATGTTGAAGCCTCCGACTCGGGCACACCTCATCGTCGGCCACGCGGTGAGGGGACCAGCCACGTCAACATGCCTTGTCGACGCTGCATATGTTGGCAAAATGTATATTACAAAGCCAACCTCTCAACGTTCTCGCTCTACAGGCACTCATTGATCCCCATCCGTCGATGTGTCCATTAACGACAAACAGACAGAAACACACACCGGCATGGGCATGACAAAAGCTCTGTGCTCGCATACTATGGATGCACGGATGGGTGGCGAATACACACATTCTAGCGTGAAAGTGGTCCTACAAAGTGGTCGAATGCAAAGTGACGAGGGGTGCAAAGTGGTCGTATGGTTACTTTGCATGCCCCTAGCGGTCATCGCTGTTATTACAGGTAACCAACGCATTCTCTTCGGTTTCAGTAGCTGCGTTGGGTTCGAACTCGGGACAATTCGGATCACGACACGAACTCCTCCGCCACTCAGATAACCGGTCTGAGCCGTAAGGCGCGCCCTTCACCGCACTGACCCTGCTCAAACGTCAGGCCTCCTCACATTTGGCATATACTTATCATTTTGTCAGTGTGTGTGAAGCTTGCTCTCGTTGTTGCCGCCTCCCTCGTGGTTGCTTCACTCCTTTCCCCTTCCGCTTTCTTGTTGCTGTGTGTATACAGCCGACCCTCCCACAGAGACTAAATACTGCGAAGACTACGGATACACGTAATACTATGCATCCATGTGTAGAACTTGTCTCAGTCATGTCTCTCTGTCTTTCTGTCATGTTCGCTTTTTGTCTGGGGAATGGTCGTCGTAGAGAAGTGCTAATTCGACTGTCTCCAGCTTCGGACTTGGCAGAGTCTTCTCCTTGTCCACACACGTCCAGTGCCCACTGCCGGGCACGACTCAAAGATGGGACGACACTGGGAGAAAGCCTGTGGAAAGGGAAAAGAAACCTTGTGTTTTGTACATCGTAAACATGCTTACAGCTTCTTTCTCCTTGCTCGAGCTCTCCCAAGCCCAACTGCATTGACACCCTTCAGCCCCCTTGCCGCATCACAGAGAACCTCCTTCCGGCCCTCAACATGACTCTTCAGACCGCCTGCGCCGCCATGGGAGGCACGTATGGCAATGGCGGCCTACGGGGCGCGTGTTGCAGTGGCGACTGTCTTATTTTGTGGGGAGCAGGAGCAGCAGCAAGGAGCCACGTGCTCGGCTGAGGCCATTCTCGAAGCGGGCAATTTCTGCTTCGATGAAGGAGGTCCGCCGTGTATTGTGACTCAAGCGGATCTTCTCAAGGCTGCTGTAAATGGAACGGAGGCCCCCTCTTCTCTTTGCGGCAGTGAGGACCCACTGCCATGTGTGATGGAAGAGTGGCCAATCTCCGCAATCAGACAAAGATGGTCAAGACAGCGGGTGTGCGAGGAATTTTCAGGGGGTCTGTTTCACTCTCGTCGGGAGGTATGCTGCCCGTTGGAGTGCGGCGTGTGTGGGGGCGAGGGCTGCTCGCTGCGCGCCAACAACCGGCCTGACCTCTGCTGCAGCAAGGAGATTCGGAGGAGAGGGATAGATGGTCTTTGCTCCAGGACGCAATCGACACCATGCATTGTGGACACGGAAATGGTGGACATGGTGGCACAAGTGGAGACAACCTTGTTGCCACAGCTGCAGGGAGAGTTCTCTGCCGTTGGTAGACCTAACGAATCTCCTTGTCCGGCTCCTTTGTGTGAACGGACACATGTATGTGCGCACCCATACATGAATGGAGATCAAGGATGCTGTGCGAGGGAGAGCTGCAGGGTGTCTTCGATGGCAAAGAACAAGCATGCTGCCTGCAGTCGTATACCGATGGTTGCCCAATGTCCCAGGACATCGGCCAGAAGTGCGAGCGGAATGCGTCCCTGCCCTGTGTGTTCCAAGTGACAAAGGAACAGTAGTGTGAGGTATGAACTAAGACATTGTCCACATTTGTGGAAAGAATGCTTTCTTTGCCGTCAGGACATAGCACTCGGCGAGTATGATCCTGAGACGGGTGCCTGCTGTGCCCGTCAGTGTGGGACCTGCACAGATGATGACAACTGTGCCGCTTGACCTGGCGGAAGCGACCAGTGCTGCCCCAAGCTGATCTTGAAAGACGAAATTGACTGTCAGCACACGAAGTGGGCCCCGTGTGTCTCGACACAGGCCCGTGACGATCAACTCATTGCATCCACACCCCAGCCTACTGAGGTGGCTTGCATACGCATCATACGTTTATGGAGGTCTGCATGTGTTTCTTCAGGAGCCCGCCTCTGTGACGACGACACATGCACCGACAGAGGTGTGCATACTACCTAGCCAGTGTACCGGTCACGATTCGCATACACATTTCTGCGTCCGTGTGCCTCTGGCTGTCATTCCCCTCCACAGGTGCCTCTTGATGTCGACGGAGTCCCAAAGTCGAAGGACCTTTGTCGGCCTGTGCATCCATCGAAGAAAGGTGGATAACATATTGTATTGCATCCGCTGCGATACATATTTGCGCTCTTGTATGACTACAGGTGGCCTTCGTGACCTTGGCAACGGCGCGCATATGTACTTCGGCTATGCCGTCAAGGTAGACAGCTTTGTGCATTCATGTAAGTACCCCTTTGTGTCACAACTGCACTTGCAGACCGGATTGTTCGGCAACTTGAAGTACATGAAGATCCTGGGAGAGCAGTCCAGCCTCGTCGTGGCTGAATACGAATGTACGCGCGTACACAGACCCGGCCTGGTGTTGTGTGCTATGGCAATGTGTAATGTGAACAGGCAAGATGGACGTTACGCAACCACGGCAAGGAGTCTATGACTGGGGAGACTGTGATGCCATCGCTCAACTCGCTGACAACCTCGACCTTCGCTTCATACACTGACCTGGCATCGTGCGGTGGGTGTACGATGTATGCAAATGAGGGCGCTTTGTTATGCCTGCGAATACAGATGCCCGGCTGGATGCTCAATCGGCCGCCACGGAAACGGAGGGGCATCTTATAAGATCACATAGAGAAAGCCATGGAGCACTTCCGTGACAATCCCAGCCTTTGGTCCATCGACGTTGTCAATGAAGGTTCGTCCGGCCCAGTCGCATGCGCGTGTGAACTAGTTATGTATGTATGTATGTACATTCATGCAGTCCTTTCTGACGACCAGCCCATCCCGAAGCAGCCCAGGCTGAGAGAATCCTACTGGACTAAGATGGCCGGTATCGACGACTGGCCAGCTCTGGCGTTCAGGTGTCTTGAACACAAGGATGGACGCGCAAACCACGTGTATGTATTTTTCCACACAGAAAAGCCAAGCAAATAGCTAGGAACCGAAACAAACTTCGGTCGATCATGAATGAGTATGGAATCAACTCCGTTGCGCGACAAGGGGTCAGAATGCAAACCTTCACGCAACAGCGCGCAGTCCATATCCGGATGTATGTGTGTATGTATGTAGGGCTGGCGGAAGGCTGACGCCATGTACCACTATTGCCGGCAGCTGCGCAAAAAGGGGGTGCCTGTGGACGGTGTGGGTGTGCAAGCCCACATAAACATTGCTAAGCGCGACTTCCACGGTATGTAACCCTCCACGCCCTCATACAAGCGAGCATGTCCGGACCCTACGCGAGTGTACGCCGCATATAGGTGTGCGGAAGCAGTTCAAGCGCTTGGGCGAGATTGGCCTGGAAGCTCAGATAACTGAGGTAACTCACGGCAAATTGCCCTAATTCGACGTCTTGCTTTCCTTTGATTGTACTCTCCTTTGCTCCTCCAGCTTGATGTATCTTGCGGTCACTGGCACGGCAGCCGATTCAAAGCATGCGATGGCATGAACGACCTCATGGAATTCATGCAGATGGGCACAGACACATGCAGGAATGGGCACTTGCGTGCACGTGCCTATGTGTGCACATATGCGTCTCTCCATGATTCTATGTGTGCAGGTCGAGGCATACAAGGCCATGGTCCGCGTGTGCATGGACGCGGCCAACTGCACAGGTCACAAATTGACACATGCACACGTAAAAGCATTTCATAAACATTTCGTCCAGGTGTCGGCGTGTGGGGCGTCTCCGACGATGGGTCTTGGCTACATAGCGAGTCGCGCAATGAGACGCCGCTCCTCTTCGATTCCAGCCTGAAGAAGAAGAGGGCCTTTTATGGCGTCAAGGAAGCCATGCAGACGTGATCTGCACTTGTATGATTGTGAGCTTTGCTTGGATTGATAGAAGACACCTCTGTGATCCGTTCCCTGGCCCGCATCCGGATGTTGCAGTTCTGACAAAGCAGAACCGCATTAGAATTAGCTGCAGAAAGTCCTGCTTCTAGGGGAGGCGTCGTAGGAGAGGCGGGGCACGTGTTGCGAGCCAGTGGGATCTAGGGTTTAGGTCAGTTCAAGTCAGAATATCTCCCGACATGTACGACACAGATGCATCTAGGATGCAGTAGGATGAGTGTTGTGGATCACATTTGACATATGCGGGAGATGCTCTTTCCATCGATGCATTCTTGTGTCCAGCGAATTGCCGGTAAGTGAACGAAGGATGCGGCCTATAACACACACTCAAACAGAGCAGGTGGCCCGCAGGCAGGTGTGTGTACTCGCTTTCCAAACTCACTCTCATTAGCAAATGGACGGTCCGGCACCGCGAACGGCCTTTCAAGCCCAGTGATTATGTAGCTTGAGGGACGAGTGCTGGAGCCCCCGACGGTCGGACAACTATGGTGCAAGGGAGACATGTGGTGGCCTTCGTATGTCTTTTCTCGATGTGAATTGACGCAACACGCAGCCAAAGAATACAGACCTCGCCATGCGCTAGGCAAACGTCTGCCCTCATTGAAAGACGGCAGCTCCCCTTATATCTCACGCTTTCCGCTCTGTGTGCCGCCATGTTTGTCCTCTTGTCCAAACGGACACCAAATAGACAATTCATACAATTTCAACCATTGCGTCTGGGGTGTATATTTGAAGATCTCCCTGTGGGTACCCTGGCCCTCCACCGACAACGAAAATGTGTTGTATGGGCACGCCCGCCACAGCTGCAGCTGCAGTCACTCGCACCAGCGCACATACCCGATGCTGAACGATTCCTTTACCGTCTCGATATCACCCACCGGTAGCTTTCGCCGCAATGGGCAAATCTTCCCCTCTGATCCACCTCCTGTCACTTCCCCGAACATCGTCACAATCTGCTTGCGCTATGCGATCCAGTAGACTGAGAACACCCACTGGGGCGTTCAGTACGGCCCGAACTTTCTGATACTCGCTCTCGCGTCTCTCGCAAAGACTGCTAGAGGCTAGGAACTCGACGGAGGTCAGCGGAGTACCGTCGTACTCCCCTCCCACGGTTACGAGATACTTATTATCGATAACCACGACTCCATGCGCTGCGCGAGGCTGATTCAGACGTGGGCCCTCATGCCAGCTCATCGTCTTGCGGTCGTAAATATAAACCTCCCCTTTCTCAAGATGACCCTCTCCCCACCCCCATCTGCCTGCCACTACCCAGATACCCTCGTCGAAGACGGCGGCAGCGATATGCTCAAGGTGCACCGGTGGGCCATCCCTCTCACCCCACTCGTTGGTCGAAGGATCGAACACCATCATCGAAGGGATGGGGACTTCAGCGCTGAGGTTTGGCCTCACACCATCATCTTGCATGCCACCAATCACGTAGATAAGGCCGTCATATGTGACCGCTGCTCCAGCCGCTCGTGTTCTAGGCATGTTCGGTAGCTCAGAAATGCTGTCACTCGTGATGTTATACAACCAAGCGCTGGCAGTGGCATGGTCTCCCAGTTCGCCATCAATGCCTTCAATACACTTGTGCATTCCAGCCCTTCTCTCTTTCTCTCTACTGTGTTGAGTCACCTCCAACGATGACGAAGGCGTCATTAGCCGGCGAGGGGTAAACACTTGCCATGACATGGTGTCGACTCGCCGGCAGTGGAGACAGGTCAGTCCACTCGCTCGTTTCAGGATCGAAGGCCCTGATCTGATCCATGGCCCGTCCTTCACTTCCAATGTATCCTGACCGATGAACACCAAGAAATACAGTGTAGAAGGGATCCCATGAGCTCTCACCTCCGACAGCATATATTTTGCCCTGAGCCATCAATGCCGCATGATCCCAATGATACGGATACGGCATTGATGGCCCCTGTTGCCATGACCCGCCGATGATGTTGCACGGGACGGAGGGGAGGCTCTTGAGGGGAACAGGCTTGGACAAGCCGCTTATCTTGACAGCCCATGACTCTGAAGCTCCATTGGCCGAACACAACTCAAGCCACCGATCCGAGTCGGTTCCTTGAAGCACGCGAGGGGCGGCACCAACATACCAGGGGACCCCACCTAACGACCGCAGAGGAGGGGACAGACAAATACTCTCACGACATGAACAAGGCGAACTTACCGATCAGAAGAGCGAGAAGGAGTGTCATTTGATCATTATTCCCTCGGGAGACACACAAACGTTTCCGACACATATCGGAGTACAGACAAATACGTCGTCTGTGTGTCTGCTGTGTGTCATTAAATATGCCAGACACATGATGTGTTACACATCCACGTGCTCCACCACAGACCGGTAATTCCCTGCATCTTTGCTCGTTGAAGTGCATCTTTCCGTCTTTGCGTTCAACGATCGAGGAGAGACGCATGGGGTTTCTCATGCTTTTGAGGGTTTTTTCACACACGGGAGCTTCTCTTTGTCTCAATCTTCCCCCTCCCCCCCATCATTAATCGTAAGAGGGATAGGTCTGCAAAAAAGACCTCACTTGGGACGTGCGCGACACCAAAATAAAAAAAGGCAGGCACAGGGCGTGGCAGGTAGGAAAAGGCGATTGGAAAGGAGGCGTGAAGAGAAGCATGAAGGGAGACAGACTGGGATAGAGGAAGGAACGGCCAAGAAAGACACAATATGAATTCTACACCATCGGTATCCCACCGCTAGTGGTGCGACATAAACAAGGGCGAGGAGCGGCGGATCAGCTCCAACAGACCTTTAGCATAGTCAGACATCTCTCGCACTTCTATCCTTCTAACCCATATTTAGCTGACCCGCTCAACATGCCCTGTACGCTGTATAGACACTCACTGCATTCCCATCCGTCGGCGTCTTAACAATAAAACACGCAAGGACACGCGCAGCATGGGCACGACAAAAGCTTTGTGCTCAGATGCTATGGATGCACGGATCAATGGCGCACACACATGAATGCGGGGAGACCCGCATACCGGAGCACACATGTGGGAGCATATG